GSSSCCKAYGGSCCATGAAAACAAAAATGTTAGTTAACAAAGAGAGTTTCTTGTGTTAATYATTCAATGTCTATAGTGTTATCCTTTTAACAATTTGCAATGAATTGAATGTTAATGAATTCCAAACGTCAAATACTTTTTACATCTGCTCTCTGGCAAGATGGCCGAAATATAATCAGAAGTGGTCCATTCTCTAGTCAGCACTGCCTTTCCTGTATAAACTTTGCTCTATTCTATGAACGTTGTAGTAAGAGATAAATACCTAGAATGGATGATGAAATAAGGCCCCTTAGGCTATAGGGCTTGATAGGTTTATTGCCGACGTTAGAGTTATTACATGGACGAGAAACAAAACCAATGCCATATTTTAATATTTTAAAACGATCTGAGGCCGATTGTACGAAGGATGGATAAATTTGGTTAAAGTCACAAACCTTATAGATTTTGTATGGATTTTATCCACTGGATAAGGGATTTATCCSGTGGGTAGCGCTATTCACCCACTTTTAATTAGACAGCCAATGCCAAAAAACATTTTAAAAAAAGACATTTGAATAAACATTTTTTTAGATTTGACTTTTAATAATTAGACGTAGTACTCTGAAAGTGTTATGTTCTTGATGTTTTTATGCCTTGTAGTTACTTTTATCCTATTTTCTTGTTAGAGGACCTCCCTGAAACCACATAACGTGACAGGAAAATCCTCTTTAAATATTAATTATTATTTTTATTATTACCCTTCGTACAACCGGACTCAAACCATTGGACTTACTGAGTTCTCAGAAGGGAATCTTTGATAATTGCTTTTCACTTCTACTTTGGATAAGCTAACAGAAAAAAAAAACTATTTTTTATTGGTCAGTTCTTATCGCTTAGCTAAGTAGCATCGTCATCATCATCATCGTCATCATCATCATCATCATCATCATCATCATCATCATCATCATCATCATCATCATCTTTATCAAGTCGGTAAAACTAGAGCATCACACTAACTATTAACGTAATATGGAAGTAAATATAAAATAATTTGTAATAAATAATAGTTAAAAATAAGATGTACAATTAACACCATCATCTGCATAGCATAGTTGTATAAGACGGGTATTTCAGTGCAGTTCGAATCCTACATTGGTATTTATCAAAAGTCATTAATTACGGTGTTTTCGTTTACAGCTATTTCGATTCCGTGGATGTGTGTAAAGTGCGCGAGGGCTGGACCGATGTGAGAGTATCAGGATGCTTCCCTCCATTCGCCAATGGACCGGCTAAGATTGCCATGGTTACTGTTTTCGCGCCAACTGAATTAGATTTGTGCCTGTTTCAAGCTGGAGTAAGGTACYGCATTTAATCATCACTTCATGATGAGATCTTTAAAGTTAACAATAAATTTGCTGTTTCAAAACTTTCTGTCATCATGCGGACGGAGACTATGCGTCCAATATCTGTATTACAAGCTGTRGTTTAACTTAMTGAATATAAAAAGAGTCAGGGTCTTTATTTAATGACTTTTCCAGTTCATCAAAATAATTGATTAAATTCTAAAATAGCTTATCWTTGCAGAGGTGTCCAAGAAAACAAACGATGTCCTCTTGATCTACTGGTCATTGTTTCTCGCGCTTCAACTGGAAAGGGAAGCTCACCAAAGCCAGTGTCTTATATGATGAGCAGCAAACGACAAGTCAAGTCGAATGTTATGTGCAGCGGAATCTTAGAAGAAGGAACATATATGATAGGTACATAACAAGGAACATATATGATAGGTACAAAATGACAAGGAACATTCATGATAGGTACAAAATGACAAGGAGTATTATGATAAATACAAAATGATAAGGAACATATATGATAGGTACCTAATGACAAAGAACAAATATAATAGGTACAAAATGACAAGGAACTTTTATGACAGATATTGACAAGAAATGTATCTGATAGGTACATGATGACAATTTAAGAAGGAACATACAACATAGGTGCATAAAATAAACTGAATTTCTAAAATATGTAGGATACTACGTGCGCTGTGATTGGTCGAAAACCATGTTTGATTACAGTATCAAAACACGCTCGTTTCATATCGTATCAAAAGTCAGAATTCTTTACAATTTTCGTATTCTTCTAATTTTAGAAAAGAAATAAAAGACGAAATTCCGTGTTTGATACCTCTGATCAAAACACTTGGGATGTAGGGAGAGCACTCGAAAAGCTGGAAACCACTCCGCTACGCGTCGTGGTTTCCTACGCTTCTCTCGTGCTCTCCCTACATCCCGCGTGTTTTGATCAGAGTATCAAACACGGAATTTCGTCTTTTATTCCTTAAATAAAAAGCGTGTATGATAATGACAAGACGATGACATGGAACATATGTGACAAATAATGACYAATAAAAGACGAACCTTTCGTCTTCCTGGAAACAAATGACTGGTATATAGAAAGAGGGACATGTACGATACGCACATTGTAATGACAGTGTTTAAAATGGGAAGGAACTTCAATAAAAAGTGCCTCCTTCAACATGTAACAAACATCACACTGTAATGACAGAAGACAAAGCATATGTAATAACCTCATTCYTCACGTAGTATTTTTGTTTTCTTMCTAAACTTCTGATATTTTACAATTTTAGTGTGTACAGCGTTCAACCACTGGGCAACGTCCCAACAAGACGACAGTGGATTTGCAGCTATTTGTGCAAATGAAGACACTTTTCCTAGCTATATATTTGCAGTGCATAGCTCGAAAGCCGTGCTGGTTGAACAAATTCCRATGCCAGAATTTTGTCTGGCAGATGTTATTCTTGATTTGGTTATAAAACATGGTAAAAGACACGAGGTAGGAAGACAAGCCTTTAGCGCAACTATACACAAATAAGATGTTCTGATGTTGTTGACTGTTTATGGTTTGCAGCTAGGTTGCGGTAGTAACGAGGTTTATGATCACGGATCAGCATAATTTTTGAACTTAGCCACATTTTCGTCATTTTTTTGTCTCAGAGATAAGAGTTTTATCTTTAGAATCACTAAAAACATAATACCCTGTGACGTCACAGCCGCCATGTTGGATGAAAATAACAAAGGTTTAAAAGAATAAAACTGTGTATTTTCAGGGTATCGATGGTGTAACGTGTTATTTCATGGCCAAGGGAATGGCTGGGTTAGTCGTCGTTGCTGAAAACCGTCGTCCTGACCATTTTCTTTACGTTGACTGTGATTGTAGCGACAGTTTTAACATCGTATCCACCAGAGGATCGCTGATTGTCGCTGATAGTATTCCACCACTGCATAGGTATACTTCTTTCTATTTCACTCAAATAAATTAATGAAATGTGGTGGTTGGTTGTTGGTTGGTTGGTTGGCTGATTAGTTGGTTGGTTGGTTGGTTGGTTGGTTGGTTGGTTGGTGGGTCAGTCGGTTGGTTGGTTGGCTGACTGGTCGGTTGGTTGGTTGGTTAGTTGATTGGTGAGTTAGTTGGTTGGCTGATTGGTTGGTTGGTCGGTTAGTGGGTTGGTTGGTTGGCTGATTAGTTTGTTAGTGGTTGGTAGGTTGGTGTGTTGGTTGTTTGATTGGTTGGATAGTTGGTCGGTTCGTTTGGTGGGTGGGTGATTATTTAGATTGCATGGCTGATTAGTTGTTTAGTTGGTTGTTTTGTTCTGGTCATTCTTTTGCTCGTTAGTTTGATAATCTTGTTTTGAATGATTGGATTTTCTTGATGATTTTTCAGACAAGTTCTTATTCTGTTGACTCAACTCGAAGGGGCTGATGGTTTTGCAGTATCACACAAGCTTAGTTTCCGTGTCACGCCGGACGTTTTCGGGTCACACCACGTCCCGCCACTTACAAACGTTACAATGGGACTTCATAGTGCCAGACCACTTTAAATATCTCAAGATCTGAATCGTAGACCTAACGCGTTGTCATGTACGTTAACATCCAATCAAATCCTTCGGAAAAAATAACTTTTGTTTCTAAGAATTCATCTGTGAAATGACAATACAACGAACAATGAAACTTACTCCCGGGTGGTTTGATTCGGGGTGGAAACATTTATAGCAACGCGTTAGTCTATTATGGTTTAATATTCAAAGATTATAAAGTAGTTGTGATCAGATTATAACATATAATATACTACGGGAGATATATGAAACTGAAAACAATATTCCCAAAAAATGTTTTTTATTAACTACCGCATGCAGCCCGTAAGTCAACATGCATATCTACAACTGTTGTACTTATTCAAACCAATTGCTTTASAGTCTTACTACAATTGTAGTCATGCTGTAACAATGATATGTATTAATTGGCGAATGCATCAGTCTCGTCTTTGATTGTGCTTTGTACATGGTATTTAAACAAGAATATCGAACTATATATATTGTATTCTGTTAGTATATTTTATTTGAAGGTTAATTATAAACAAACAAACAATCATAACATATACAAGCTGTATAGATGCACATTGAATAAATCTGTTTTACATTTGGTAAAAATTTTCGGTCGACAAAACACTAATATAAAGTGCAAAGTAGCTACATTGTTTGTTTTCCTGACAAGAAATTAGTTCCCAAATGCAATAAATAAAGTTTATTAGCTGATGATTAAACCATTAGCTTAAATCAATATCGTGCGAATCATCATTTTGACAGTTTTGCAATTTGAAACGTTATATACAGACTCCTCAGTGACGGATCCAGAACGTTGCAAAGGGAGTGGCTAATCCAAGAAAAAATATTAAATGTATAGAATTAGTTCTATTTGTTTTTCATAATGAGTCCGATTCAGATTAAATTCTTCTGTTATTTAATCGTATAATAATTCCTATCGCTATACCTTTGYACCCTAAAGTGGGGGGAGGCATGCCTCCCTAATCGCCCGCCCCCCCCATCCATTGATGATCCGCCATTGCTCTCATGTGATACCAGCATTCTCATAAATTGCTCATACATTTCTTTTTTGCGTSTTTTGCTTCGTTGATATATTGATTACAAAATGTTTGTAAAAAAAGGAAAAATCTTTGCATGATCAGAGAAAAATGGATCGAAAAGTTGACTTTTAAATAGTAGAAAATAATCTCAAAATAGTCAGCACACGGCGACTATKCTACACTAATTATTGTTACAATTCCATAACAATTTTCCTCCGCTCTCATTGGTAGAGAGTGGACCACGTGACGCGATAGTGCCCGCAATGGAGGAGCACTATCAATGCACATAACCCACCGGTTCTGAATTTTGTTGTTGTTGTTGTTGAAATATAAAAACAATAGATAAGTTGAAATCTCGGGCATTTTGCTGTGATAGGAAACTGGATCATGTTCCTCATAATCGGCACGCCGTCAAGTTTTCGGAACATGAAGTTTCCGCGTGCAACTATCACAGCATAATGCCCTCGATTAAACTACTTTATTGTTTGGATAGTCCCACAAACTACACTTTTTCTTTTTCTATTGCATTTCAATTTGAGAGCTCTACATTAAGTTGAGAGCTCTACATTAAGTTTGGTACAAAAAAACTGTTCAGTTCAACACTATTGTATGCAGAATTAAGAACAGGAAAATCCAAGAAGAACTGAGGATGGTGTGCTGTACAACTGAAGATCCTGAAAATGAGAAATATTTTCTCTTCAGTACAACTAAACCAGAACAATATTTACTAAATGAGCACACTATCTAGTAAGATGTAGAACAGAACCGTACTTTTAAAAGTGCATTATTCTTCACGGTTTTCTGCGCCATCTTGAAAAGCAGCCGTCCATTTAATCGAAACGAGATGACAGCTGAGTGGACACCTACCTCCACCTACCAACAATTACACATAGGTATATATTATTTCACACTCAAGGAACGGCTACCTTTCAAGATGCGGTAGGGAACTGTGAAGAAGACTACTGCAACGAAGCGGCTGGAGACCGCTTCATTTCAAAGGGATGCGTGTTAGGGACTGTGRAAAAAGGAGTTCTTTAGGAACAAGTTTTAACAGTTATTCCATTTTCTGTCGTCAAATTACCTGTCTGTAGAGCCGCCATTAACAAGATTTTGTATTCAGCTTTGAATCCACTCTTCATACTCCACGTCATTCTCTGATATTTGTCGCTGACAAATCGTACAATAAGCTTTCTGTTATAGGTTGAGAAGGTAGCAGGAAGCTCCGTGGAATTACACAATGTCACCATGAACGTCTGATGTCTCTTAATGGCGCTGTCTGTTACCTCCACAAAGTCAGTGCAGTTGATATCCAAATTGATTGGTTTGGAGAATGTCAAGTCGATGCGTGAGTTGGGTGGACTTTTGATAATCCAAAAGCAGTCGACCTCTCCGGGGTAGGGTAGGGGATATCGTGGACTGGTTATCGTTCCTGAGTAAGTGTGCAGTTCTTTGTAGCTAGGGCATTGATCTGAAGAAGGAGAGATCATTTAGTTGCCGATATAAGTTTTAAACATTATCATTAGAACCATATGTTTTCATAATTCTCAGTAATATAATCGCCCCCCCCCCCAACCCCAAAACCCAAGCTCCGAGGGATCAAGAGGTTCCAACACTTGCCTTCCAATGACGACACAGCGGTATAAGTTGCTTTAAACCCTTGATGACTATATTTAGAATCGCTGATGAAGTCCATCCTAACCACGCTCTGCCTGGAATAGATAGGTGAAGGTGGTGATGTGCCGCAGTATTTCGATTTAATGCCATGCTTTATGCTGGTACTTATCCCTAAATAGTCACATCTACAATCGTCAGAACACCCATCAACCTTAAAGTCTTTTCTCTTAAAGGTTATAAGCACGTGTTTCCCATGTGGGACCCTGATGCGCCATGTYCATTTTTTGCTGTTACCGTAGATGTATGGAAAGTCTGGTGACGTAATTATTCCTGAAGATGACGTCACGTCTTTGAACACTGGACATGGGCCTGTTAAGAGAACGACAAAAATTCAAAAAAATTAATTAGACTCTCTAGATCTGAGCATTACTGATAAAAGCTCTATACTGAGTTGACTTAGTTATATATAAATAATGCTCTTTAAAAGGGAGTTCAGAGTTTACACACTTGTTGATGGTATTATTCCGTTTTGTAATTATTTCAATATTTATTTGGTGTAAGCCGTGCATGCATTGTTATAGCAGAGGGAGTGCACTAGTACCCTATAGATACCTTCACTAAGGGAAGTCATCGTGTACTTTGCAAAAAAATCCACGGTATCGTCAGATTGTAGATTCTCCAGGACAACAGTAAGGTAACGCCCATTGGAGTATAAAACAATAGGTGACTGGAGATTAGGATTACAATATCGACCAATCACTTGTCTGCCGTCAGTCTGACCCTCCATAACTCGTACTTGATTGTTGATACAACTGTTCGAGTTGTTAACTCGGAGACGGTGTAACTCTAGCTTGACACGTCGTGACCGTGAAGCGATTAAAACCCACGTGCACCTTTTAACCTCTTTAGGGTTGAATGGACRGGAGATCCAGCCTATTGCTCTAGTCAGGTAAAGCTTGTTTCTGGACACACATTCTACGAGAAATCAAGTACAAAATGAGCTTTGCTTT